GACTCCTAGGGTATGAGAGAAGGGTGTGTGCAAGAGGCTGGTGGTAGGGGCTGGAGAGATGGCTCAGCGGTTAAGAGCACTGACTGCTATTCCAGAGGACCTGAGTTCAATTCCCAGCACCCACATGGCAGCTCACAGCTGTCTGTGACTCCAGTTCCATAAGCAAAACACCAATGCACATAAAATAAAAATATATTTAAAAAAAAGAAGAGGCTGGTGGTGCCAGGATAGGACCAAAGAAGGGTTGTTTGCTCTTGGTCAGGCTGCTAGGAAAGGGGGGGGGGGGGGCGCTGCATGCCATTCTGTCTCTACCGTGAGCATCCTGTTAGAGAAAGGACTGGAGCAGAGGCAGGTGAGAAACGGGAGGGAACGAGGAAGCTGCTCAGGGGAAGGAGGCCAGGACTAAAGACAGTGGCTGTGGGATAGATATGGGGGGACACCTGACAGCTCAGAAAGGAGCCCAGATGTCCCCCTAATGACCTTCCTTATGGTTTTCTCTGCCCCCTTAAAATTTGTTATTTTAGCTGGGTACTGGTGGCACACACTTTTAATCCCAGTACTCAGGAGACAGAGGCAGGTGGATCTTTGTGAGTTCGAGGCCAGCCTGGTCTACAAAGCGAGTTCCAGGACTGCCAGAGCTGTTGTTACACACAGAGAAACCCTGTTTTGAAAAACAACAATAAACCCCCGTCCCCTGCAACAAAATTTATTTTATGAGTATGGGTGTTTTGCTGCATGTATGTCTGTGCACCATGTGCATGCCTGGTGTCTACAGAGACCAGAAGAGAGTGTTGGATCCCCGGGAAGTGGAGTTACACTGGATAGTGGATAGTAATGAGCCACTATGTGACTGCTGGGACTTGAACCTGGGTCCTTGAAGAGCAAGCATTACTTTTGACCACTGAGCCTTCTCTCTACTCCTCTCTGCCCCATTTTGTTCCTGTTTCTTTGTCCATCAGGGGCAGGGACCAAGGCCTTTGGAGTGTCTTAGGAGCTTTTCTGTTGGAGGGGTGTATAGCCAGTTTGGGACGGATTCTGTGACATCAGCTGAGCTTCTAGTGAGCTGTGGAAGACTCCCTACCCTTACCCACAGCATTTTCTGTCCACTTGGGCCAGCCCAGGGCTGGTGACTATCCCACATTTTTCTCCCCCAACCCAGTCTTCCCAAGGTGGCCTAAGTAGTGAAAGTGGTTGGGACGATGGGTTTCTGAGGAACCCAGACCAGCAGAGTCCGCGGCTGTTCGTGCCTGCTGTGGTCTGGGAAGACTTCTGCTCTCCAGAGCCTCCTAGGGTCCGGCTCCAGTCTATTCGTTCTCCAGCGTATCGCTGCGGCAATGGCAGCAGTGACAGCGGCAGCGGCAGCGGTGGTGGCAACAGCAACACTTCACAGCCTTCTCAGGAAGACCTCCAATCAAGGGAAGGAACGAGCTTCAGCCCCCAAGTGAGCAGAGCAACTGGTGAGGAATGTGAGCTTAATCCTGACTGCTCCTGGGCCATGGGTGACCTCTAGGGTGGTCCCTGCTTTCTCTGTACCCCAACAGCCTTCCTCTTCCCTTTGGGAATGCTCAGGGTACCCTGATGTGCCTGTAGAAGGGATCTGAGTGACTGAGCACACTCCTTTGTCTCTACAAAGGAGAGGCTCAGCCAGGCAAGAAGCCGTGTGCATCCAGGCATGAAATGAGCCCATGTAGATCCCATGTAAATGAGCCATCAGGGAGGGGGCAGCTGGGGACAAGACTGTTTGCCCTGATGGGTGATCAGCATCAGGGGCCTCAGTCTGGCAGTGGGTAGACAAGACTGTTAGGCTAGGCTCAGTGGCAAGCAGATCTGCTGCAAGGATGGCCACAGGATACCCACGGTGCCAGGGTTGGCTGCGGATGAAAGTGAGACCCATCCTTCTGCCTCTGTCTTCGTGCTCTCTCTTGGGAGCAAAGAAAGGGCTACCATTATGCCCTCTGATCCCACCTTTCTGTCCCCCATCTGCTGTTCCTGGAACCCCCGTGCCTTGGTGCCTGGAAGTGGTTTCCTTGGCTGACAGAAGGAGGATGCTGTCAGACGGAGGTTTCCTGGTGACCCGAGATTCCCCACAGGAGTCCTGGTCTCATCGCTCCTCAGCTTGCTTGCCCTAGAGCAAGCAAAAGCAAGAGGAAGAATTTGGAAGAATGTACATAGATGCAGGTCCCCAAGGTCCCTAGGAGAAAAGGCACCTCTCCTGGAACCCCTCAAAGACCGGTAGGGGAGAAAGACTAGGGGATAGATGGTGACCATTGATGAGACGACCCTAAGCCGGAGGTGGGAGCCTACAGGTCACCCAATCTACCTGGCATGCTCAAGGGAGGCTTTGAGTGGTGCTTTAGAGGATGTATAAGCCCCCCCCCACCCCCCTCCAGATAGAGAGGGGTAATGGAAGAGGAAGGAACCGTTCTATCAAGGTAGGGGTAAGGGTATATGGGCTTGTGGGCCTGGCTAGAGTACAGTGAACTCTACAAAGGCAGGAAGCCTTACCAGCGCTGCCCACAGCTGTATCCCCGACAGCTGGACCAGTGCCTGGTTCCCAGTAGGTGCTGCATACACTTTGATGAATAAATAACTAAGATGAAAGGAAGGAATGTTAGGAAGTGAGCCTGGACAACTTCATCATGTGCCAGGCTCCGGGAGCTAAGGCCCCAGGTACTAAGGCCTGCAGGTACTAAGGAGTCACCAAAGGACATTTGGCAGGGGTAGGGAGACAGCAAGAAGAGTGATGATAAAGATGGGTAGGGCCTGAGGTCTAGTTTGTTCTCCCATCCGAGCCTTACCTGTTTCAACCAAAACACCACACTCCTCCTTTGGTGTTCAGAACTCCTTCCAAAGCCTAATTTTAGTCTGTCATTATCTAGCTGAAGAAGGATATGGAGCCATCCCAGCTAGGGTGGGTGATCCCAGGGAGGGTGCCAGACAGGAGGTCTGTGGGTGTGGGCTGGTGGAAAGGGATTGAAACAGCTAAATCAGCCTCAGGAAGCTCTTTTATGTTGGTATTGGTTAGCTAGGGGAGGAAGAAACTTTGGGGGGAAAAAAACAAACATATTGTCAGGGTCACCAGTGGCAGTGAGCCAGCCCCACAAAGGGAGTGACACAGGACCACATCCTGGAGGCACTTGGTGCCAGAACAGCTGGCCTTGACCATGACAAGGGGTCTGCACTCAGGCAGGCAATTGCTCCAGGTTAAGCACAGTGAACGGGTTTAGAGGTTTTGGAAGTGAACACATCCTAAAGGTTGGGCCTCCATCGCCTCGGATAGATGCAGGTCTGTCACTTGACCCAGCTATTGCTCCTGCAGCTACAAATGTCATAGACCAACTGTGGCATTTCTTTCTTCTGATTCAAATGAGTGCTTTTCTCTACAACTATACCCTTCCGGGATCACTACGCCCTTTAAATGTGACTTATCTGATTTAAGATGTCCGGTAAGGATAGAAGACATATTAGACTTCAAAAATCTAAATATAGAAAAACATTTCTCTTAAATTGCTATGTGGACAACACATTGCAATGGTAGTTTTTGTTGTGGTGGTGGTGGTTGTTTGACTTTGTAGCCCTGGCCTGGAACTCACTGTGTGTACTAGGCCGTCGTCAGACAGAGACTGCCTGCTCCTGACTCCCAAGTACTGGGATTAAAAGTATGTGCCCCATGGCTATCTTTTTTTTTTTTTTCCGAGACAGGGTTTCTTTGTGTAGCTTTGGAGCCTGTCCTGGAACTCACTTTGTAGACCACACTGGCCTTGAACTCACAGAGATCTGCCTGCCTCTGCCTCCTGAGTGCTAGGATTAAAGGCGTGCGCCACCATCACCTAGCCTGGCTGTCTATTTTTAAAAGCCATTTATTATTTTTGTTTCTGTATACATGTGTACACCTCCATCTTTTTATGCACCACGCGTGTGCAGATGCCCTCAGAAGCCAGAGGGTGTTGGATCTCAGGAACTGTAGTCACAGCTAATTGTGAACTACTTGCTGTGGGTCCTGGGAGAGGACCCAGGTCCTATGAAAGAGCAGTAAGTGCTCTTAAATGCCGAGCCACCTCTCCAGCCCCCTACCATCTATTTATTTTATGTTAGTTTTGAGACAGGCTTACACGATGTAACTCTGGCAGGCCTGAAACTCACTATATAGACCTTGAACTTATGGGGGATCCTTCTGCTTCTGCCAGATTACAGACATGTGTCACCACACCCAGCCGGGTTCACCTATTTTTTTAAAAAAAACTTTAATGTGGCTTACTAGAAATTTTATAAATAACCTGGGTGATTCAATATGGCATTTCTACTGGACAGTACCAGGGAGAGTGGGAAATCTTGTCTTGTTCACAACTCAGTCTCCTGCATCTAGAACAGTGTGGGACATATAGTAGGTGTTCAATAAAATATTCACAGATGGAATGAGTGAGCCCACACTCTGTAGGGAGGGAGAGACCAGTTCACTCAGTGGAACATATCTGTTGCCCCGAGCCCACGTGGTACTTCCACCACCAGGCAACCCTCCCATCTGTGCTTTTTTGCTACTCAGGAGGGCAGCTCAAGGGAGACTTGGGTGAATGGGTGAATGCCCTGCTCTCTTGAGAGCTTTCTAAGAGGGCACTTTCAATTCCTTCTGCTCAGGAAGCAGGGCAGCTTGCAAATAGTATGGAAATCATCTCTCCAGACAGGTTTTGCATATGGGGTTGATGGAGATGCGTCCAGTCCATTTTCTGCCCCCAACTCAGGTCCCTGGGGATAAAAGAGGAAGCTCTGAAGGCCTTGAGCTGCTGGTGGGGTTCTGGTGACTTGTAGGGGAACGGGCCACTTCAGTCTTTCCCCAGTGAACAACGGCTTGTAGCCTGGAGCATCCTTGTATCTCAAATCGAACAGAAGCCTAAAAATAGTCTGCAGTTTTAGCCTCCTCCACAGCCACCCGCGCCAAGCCGGGCCCTGCGCCCGCCGGCTCCTCCACAATCCAGACTGTCTGCACAATCTGCCCAAGCCACTGCCCGGCTCCTCTGTGTCCTGGCCCTGGGGACCCTGAGTCAGCACTCCACTCTCAGGCCTGCTGAGGTCTGCCTCCTGCTCTGCCCACCCAAACAAACTGAGCCCACTGGTTCCTGGGCTTTCAGAAGATGGTGACCAAGCCACTTGGTTCTTAATGGGGACTTAGGCAGACCTGGATGCAGTGAGCAGGTCCTAGACAATGGAACCTGCGGGACAAAGCTGAAAGCCGGCGAGAGAGCCTGCAGTGTGTGGCAGAGAGTAGGAGCCACTGGGGTTAAGTGGAGATGGTTAAGCAGGATTGGGTGTCGGGGGCAGGCCAGCAATGGCTGTTGGCTCCATCCTCCGTACAGATTCCCCTAGGTGGAGTGGCATCTCTGTCCAGTCATCCATCTCTCATGCAGCACTCAGGAGGAGTTTCTCCCTATTTAGGGGGTTCCACACTTACTATCTGCAAGAAGTCCTATGTCTTCCTGCCTGAAATTCTGGGCTTCCCGTCTTCTGGGCACTGTAGGGAACAGTGAGAACAAGTCCTCAAGGCAACTGTTGTTGCCTTTGGGGCAAATGTGGGACCAGACCGGCTATATCCTGATTCCCAGCCTGGAGCCCTTTGGCTGTGGCATGGGTGCTGGGCACTGTGAGGGCTTTGAGACTCACTCCGCAGAGAGCTTTCCTGTGGCAGTAATGAGCGCACAGGTGACGCAGCAGAACTGTGAGTTCGGCTCAGAGCTGAGCAGGGTCCCTGCTGCAGGAAGTGGGCCAGCAGAAGCCACAGTCCCTTTCCTTTCCTGGGATGACGTTAGGGGAAGCCAAGAGGAAAATACTAAGCTTCTGGCACGGTTCTTCCCATGGCTGATGCCAGAATTCTATTAACAAAGCCCCTCTTGCCATGTCATTTCCCAGTAGCCCTTGGAGGCCGAGTGACGGTGTAGACTCTATGGTTCCTTATTAGACAGACAGGCAGATAAAGCTTGGGAGAACCAGCCTCGTGCCCAGAATGACCTGACCATTAGAGCCAGGCTTAGAAGCCAGGGCTCCTGACTGCCTGTTCCCATCTACACACAGCTCCCTCCCCGGAGAAAGCAGGGGTGGGCAGAATGTATAGGCTTCTCATCGAGGTGAAGGTGTCGGGGAGGGCTTCAGACTCTTGAGGTTTTCTCACCTCCACACCACCTCCGTTTCTCAGCAGATGTGAGACCTCCTCGCTATGCGCATTGGCCACTCATGATGGGTCAGACGGTTTTAGGACCTTCGGGTGCTAAAGTGGCTCTGGGTGCCCTCCTCTCCCAGCTACCTCAAGAGCCCTGAATCACTCTGCACCGTGTGTGACTGGAGACCCGTCTTTGTTTCTTTGCCTGTCGCTGTGAGGAAACACCCTGACGAAAGCAGGTCAAGGGAGGAAGAGTTTACTCTGGCTCCACGTTCAAGGGTGAAGTTCATTGTGACCAGGAAGTCTGAGGGTTAGCAGGGGCCTGGGGGCTGTTGGTCACATGGAAAACGCACTCAAGAGGCAAAGAGTGATGATGGCATGCTATCCCTCAGTTCTCTCTCTCTCTCCACTTACCATCTAGGACCCCTGCCCAGGGAATGGTCCCACCGATAATTAAGATGGCCTCTCTACACTAGTTAACCTCATCTCCATTCTCCACAGGCATGCCCATCTCCCAGGTCAAATTCTCGACGGTGTCGCGTTGACAATCCACACCAACACCACAGGAACCCAGACTTATTTCTCAGCTGGAACCAACTGAAGCCGCTGAAGAGTTTGCAGACTGAGCCTGGGAGTGGGGAGGGGTAGGGTCTGTGGGAGTCCTAGCCTCATACAGCCCATCCGGAACTCCGTCTGTTGAATCGTCACCTCTTCTGAAGACACCTACCCCCATCACAGGCCTAAGCAAACACGGAGATGAACAAAATGCCGCCGGGAGAGCCTCTGTCGCAGCAGGCAGCGCCCGGAGGGTGCAGTCGGGGCTCTTTCTGTTCTTCTGTCCCAGTCTCATGCTCCCTGTATGTCCCTCCTATTCTCTCTTGAGCCCGGTCTCTTGTTTTCATTTACTGGAAACAATCATACACACACGGGGGCGCGGGGGTGGGGGGGTGGGGGGAGGGGAGCTTGCCTGTGCATAAGTGCACAGGCACACAACATCTGGGCTGCTCACTTGAGTAAACACACAGACATCTGTGCACATGTTCGCTTTGGTCCTGCTTCCCAGGGTCCTCGTGAAAGGGTGTGTGTGAAGCTTCCTTTGTGTGTTCACTTCTGGGAACTGGAGGACCCAGCTGAGTACGTCACCAATACCGAGGGCTCTAATGGGAATCACTGGACCACAATAGCCTGCCAGCAAAGAGAGTCAGGACCTTCCTGGAGGCCAGCAGAGAAATAATGGGCCTTTGCTGGGTACTTGCCGGGATGCACTGTGACCTACCTGAGGCTGGGGCCAGGGGATCACTGGACTAGAACCTGCCTCAGGGTGAGGTGGCTGCAGGAAGGAAGCCTGACTATGTGCTCCACCCATGGAAAGCTTGGGACTACATGTCCCTGGGGTGGGTGGTCATGATGACTAGGGCTCTGTTTCTGTCCCTGCAGGACAATGGGCCGGATGAGGTCCCACCAGGTGTTTGGACTTCCTGGGCGGGCTGGGACTTTCCTGGCATGCCCAACCTTCTTGATATCCTGAGATCGAAGATATTCCACGGGGTTAAGGGAGGTGGGAGCAGACAGGAAGTCCTTAGAGACACCAAGGACACATCCTGTTCTGGTGTCTGGGCTCAGGAGGCACACAGAGCCTGTGTCCCCCTATCTCCCTTAGCACACACCCGTTGCCTACTCAGAGCACCTGTTTTTTATGGGCTCTGCTGGAAGAGGCCTGTAGGGTCAGGGGGAGCCAAGGCTGACACCAGTCAAGGACCACTTCTCCCTGCCAGACAGGAGCTGAAATCCTCTAGACCTGTGCCAAGGGGCTAGCCTGGCCCAGCAGAGCCCAGTGAGCATTCTGAAACTTATCACATACCTCTACCTCTCTGCCAAAGAGGGACACTAATCAGTCAACCAGACTGGCTTCAAAGTATTCAGGTCAACTGCTATTAAATATAATAGAGGTGAACATATATCAAGTAACACACACCTACCTGCCTAGGTGTCTAAAACATGGCAAGGATGACTCATTGGGTAAACGTGCTTGCTGCCAACCTGCCAACCTGATGAGTTCGATTCTCTAGAACCCATGTGGTGAAAGGAAAGAACTAGCTGCTAAGAGTTGTCCTCTGACCTCCACAGGCATGCTGAGGTAAGTACCCCTTCATGCATACACAGTTAACCAATGTATACAAAAATTATTTTTTTTTTTTTGGTTTTTCGAGACAGGGTTTCTCTGTGTAGCTTTGCGCCTTTCCTGGGACTCACTTGGTAGCCCAGGCTGGCCTCGAACTCACAGAGATCCGCCTGGCTCTGCCTCCCGAGTGCTGGGATTAAAGGCGTGCGCCACCACCGCCCAGCAAAAATTATTTTAAAAAGAAAATATCTTAGAGATTTTCCATAAACTCTTGCAAATTGACATTGCCCCCATGTGTGGTGTGTGTGTGTGTGTGTGTGTGTGTTACTGAACATTGAACCTATGGCTTCACACATGCTATATACCCCACTACGGAGCTGCTTCCTCAGCACTTCCTCCTCTTCCTGTTCTGTTTAAATTTTGGAAGAGGGTCTTGTTGATTTCATTAGGCCGGTATTGAGTTGTTCTGCAGCCCAGACTGGCCTGGTGCTCGCACTCACCTTCTCTCAGGCCCCTGAGGTTACAGGCTGCAGCCAGGCCCACTGTCTCCAGGTTCAGTTAGAGGAACTCAGACCTGGGAAGGGTAAGTCGCTTCCCAGAGTTTCATGGCTCAGATGAACTCAGGGGCTCAGACTGACCTGATCACTCTCATTCACTCACTGCGTAGCTATGGCGCCTCTCTCTGCTTAGGCTCACGGCTAACACAGGGTGAATACAGCGGAAATGGGGAAGTGACTCACGGGCCAGATCACCATGATCAGGCCTGGGGCAGAGCCCGCTCCAGGGTCAGGGATTCCTAGGTACAGTCTGTTAGGACTTAAGGCTTGGTCATCAGAGGGAGGGGGCGGGATCATCTGTCCCAAGACACATGGAGCTCAGAGAGGGGAGGTGCTTAGCCATTCTGACCGCTCTGGGACCAGAGATGATTGGGTGGGATCTAGCTCCTCTGCTTAGCTGCGAAGTCTGATGGGGCAGGGTGAGGACGACAGCTTTGTTCTTTGCTGGCTCCCATCAGAATCTTCTCAGGGAGGGCTGAGGTGTGGCTCAGTGGTGAAGAACTTTCTTGGTATGCATGGGGGTGTTTCTCTCACAGACAGCTGCTCTAGGGGGCGGAGGGCACCCACATCCTGCCCCATTACCAACACATAAACATCCATGGGTTAGGACCCCCTGCATTGGGGGCCTGAGGCTGAGTTAGAACTGACTCAGTGGAAACCTCTGCCCACCGCTTTCTCCAGTGGGATACTGTGGTCTAACCGAGGAAGGACTTCCCAACTGCTGGTCCACACATGGCCAGCATGCATGCCAAAAAGGCGCTGTTAGGAGGGAACACTCATCCTGGGGCTCTGTCAGGCCACATCCTGCCTCAGAAAGACCCCGTGAGGTAATGCTCACTGAGGGGAAACTTCAGGTCACGACAGGACCTAGACAGAGCTGGGACTGAAGCTGGCTTTGGAGTCCTTTTATTGTGGGACACTTGTTTGAAGCTATGGACAAAAGGGGAGCACTCCACTGGATGTCCCCAAGCCTCCCTGTCCCCACCTCTTCATGGAGACATGGGACATTGGAGAGGCACGGGGGCTTCTCTGAGCAAAGACTAACTTGTGTGACAACTTTGCAGACAGACACAAATAGACAAACCAGCTTCTCAGTCAGGTTTGGCCACTCACACTTGTCCCTGGTGAACCTGTTGGCCTTCACACATTCTTTATTGAGAGAAAATCCACACTAAAAAAAAAAAAGTCACTATTTTCAAGTGTTCAAGTTGTGGTTTTCATACATTCACACTACTGTGTGATCCTTCCATTCATCAATTCCGGAACTCTCCCTCACTTATAAGAAACCCCCTTCCTACCAACAGTCACTTTCCTTCCCCTCCTCCCCCTACTCTACTTCCTGCTCTGTGAATTTGTCTGGGTCACACATCAGACTCCCCTGCCCCCACCCCAGAGCTGAGGGCCCTGTGCTTGCCTAGCTAAATCCCTAGCCCCACACATCAGACTTTTGAATCTGCTTTCTTTCACTTAGCTTAATGCTTTCCATGTCATCTGCGCTGAAGGACCAATCTACATTTCCCACCATGTTAGTGCTGATGACACCCCATTCACAACTCTGTTGTATTTGGTTTATCTACTCACCAAAAACCTCTGTGGTGGGCAGAGGTTTCCACTGAGTCAGTTATGAGTAATACTGCGTGAAGATCTGGGTAAAGTTTGTGTGTGATCATGTTTTTTGATTCTTTGATAATTCTAGATTATCTAGATAATTTTTATATAATTGGAGCGGATTGCACAATTGTATGGTAACCCTGTTTGATTTTGGGAGGGGGGTGCTAAATTGCTTTCCAGGGGTCACATTCCCACCATCAGTACAGCTTTCAATCACTACACAACCTCACTAACTTGTTTGTGTGCACATACATGTGCACATGTACATTTGTGCTAGAGATAGGTATGCCCCGTTGGGAGAGAGCCAAGCTCTGAAAACTTTCCCAGGCTCTTGTTTGGTGTGTGGGTGAGGGCTAAGTGACAGAGGCCCCCAGGGTCTGCACAAACTGGTTTCTCTTCTGCATCTCTCGGTTCTGCCTTTCTTGTCCCCTTGAGACCCCGATTCTAGGTTTCGGATGGTGGTAGGTCTGACTCTCAACCAACTCATCACGATTCCCAAGGGTGCAGGAGGCCTGGTTGAGCAGGGCCAAGCCTGGCTGGCCCACGATGTCCACAGCCTGTCTTGCTTTCATAACTCCAAGCACAGAGCAGCCAGTGGCTGTAAGGCAGCCTGCAAAGGTTTATTCAATGAACTCATGCTGTAGAGAATCAAGTTGCAGCCCAATGGCTCTTGCTCTACATCTGTCTTGATTCACAATGTCCCAGGTAAGTCACTGACCATATCAGAAACATGTTCACGTAGACAGGGTTTGTGTGTGTGTGTGTGTGTGTGTGTGTGTGTGTGTGTGTGTGTGTGTGTGTGTGTGATCCTATTCTGGCAGCATGCCCTTGGTCTGGTAAAGGTAAAGGTAGTGCCTGGAAGGTATTAAAGGTGGATCCAGCCTGATAGGGTACGCAGGCCTTGTCTGTCATGGTCTCTATGTCTGGCTTGCAGAGAGGCTCCCTTTCCCTCTGACCCCCACCCAAGACACTCAGGAGTGACTCTGGGTGCTGGGAGGAGGCCTGGTGGCTCTCAAGTCGACACCTACTCTTTTTTGTCCTTTTTTTTTTTTTTTGAGACAGGGTTTCTCTGTGTAGCCCTGGCTGTCCGGAATTCACTTTGTAGACCAGGCTGGCCTTGAACTCAGAGATCCGCCTGCCTCTGCCTCATAAGTGCTGGGCTCAAAGGCGTGTACCACCACCACCACCCAGCCTCACCTACTCTTGTGTTCACTGTTGTACTCTTTTTTCCTTGTCTCAGGACTGATCTGTCCTAAGGCAGAGTCCAGAGGTCCACCATGCAGAAATTCAAGTGGTAGGGAAATTCCAGAAGATGCTGTTCTTAAAGCACTCCCCAGCCTCAGTAAGGCTCACTTCCCCATCACGTACTCCTGTGGGGCTTCAGGGGCAGTTTCTGGGTCATTAGCAAAGGGCCTCTGAGGTCTGGCTTTTCCTGGGGCCTGTCCTGGTACTAAACACCAAGGAGCTGGGGTTTTGACACTGTAAGGCACTAGTCATGGCCAAAACCCCCTCGACCTTGACAGCTCAATGGTCTAAAGCGTAAGCCCCCACGTTGTCCCAGCTAGGCCTTCATGGCTGGAAGGATTGGCCACAGGATGACGTCAG